TATATTAGAATAATTTGCAACATACTAAATGCTTATTTATATCAGACATAAAAATCTCTTTATAAAAATCTTTTTAACATAGTTTAGCACTTTTGGGAGATTCTATTCCCGCTAAATGACAGGAACACAATTTAGAAGATGATAGGTGTTATATCTTTTAATTAGAGACCCACCAGGTAGGTCTTGTCACATAGCTATTGTCAGCAAAATCTTCCCAAGAGCAGTTAAGTTTGTCGCAGTTAAGTTTGATAAATCCACCGCCAACCACACAGGACTTAAGTTCTCTATCCATTTTACAAGAGAACATCTCAAGAGTGGAATTTCACTTTGCCCAACTTGGGCCAGAGCCTACATATGTGTGAAAAGAAGCCAGTTAGGAGACAGAAATATCTTAGTCAAAGATGAGTTTTGCCCAAGATAGGGAAGATGACATGTACAGTGATGGATTGTAATTAGTCTTTGGGTGGTGAACATTATATCATCTACACAGTAATCAAAATATATTGCTGTATACCTGAAATTTATATAATGTTATAAAGCAATGTTACCACAATAAAAAAAAAGATAGGGAAGATGGATACATTGTATGTGGATCCTGCACAAGGCACTTTTCTTATTTTGTCTTGCTTGTGTGGTTTCAGACATTAAAACTCCCAGAGAAATTACACACACACATACAGAGCAAAAAACAAACAAAACAAAGTCAACCTACTTTCTAACTTGATGGTGTAACACAGGGGGACAGAATTAGCCCTTGCTGCTCCATATCTTAGTTTCCATCGTCACATGACATTTAAAGTAAGTCCCAGATGAGAAGACATTGGAAAACCTAGGAGTTGAACGAAGAGAGTCTGACAGTCACTATCATTCCAGAAAGACCCACAGAGCCCCTCCAAGAGACCAGGTACTGAGAAACAATCCTTTATCATGAAAATAACTTCCTCATCCACCAGCTTAAATGTTTCCCTCCCACTGCTATATCTTCAGAGCACGGAACTGGCACAGTGGAAGATGAATTGTCGCATGAGAACAGTGGCCAGACAGTGCCCCAAGTTCAGGGCAGGGAGAACTCACTGGCCTCTTGGAGTTGTCTGGCCCGGTACTAAGTGCCTGTCAGGCCCCATCTCAGCAGACCCCCCTCAGCTGAGGAAGGACAAGGCAGTCACTATGATCCACACTGAGGTCTCATGGAAGGCAGAATAACACTGTGGTTACCCGCATGCTAAGGGCTCCCTTGCTTACCAGGCAGTGTGAGGAACTAGTCACAGAATTCAGGGATCCCATCTCATCTATGGAGGGGAAGCAACACTTGTTTTTTTGGTTGAGTGATGTTGTGTTTACGCAACATCGATACTACCAACAGTTCTGGAGCCCCGGAACTTGCTGGGGACACAGGCGATCTAGAGGTTGAGATAGTTCCCACTGGAAGCCTTTTATGAGCTGGCCAGGACAGACACAGACAAATACAAACACAAAGGATTGCAGTGCAGCAGAGTGAGTGCAACACTTGTGAACCACCAAGCAGTGGCGGGCGCGGGTGGAGGATGCGGGTGCAGATGTGGGACCCCAGTTCTTCCACATGCTTTCTGAGGTGGACCATAATCGATTCAAAGTTCTCACCAGCAACAAACATGTTACACTGAGAAAGAATTTGCTGGTGTGGGGTCCCTTGAGTTCCCGAATGAGGTGTGAGCGGCAGAGTTAATGCCGGGGCTTTACAAATCAAGACACTTGGGCTGTGTACCCCAGGCACTTCTGATGTTCATTTACCCTGATTAAGAGCCATTTAATTAGAGATGCGCAGGGAAGCCAGAGGAAAAATGGGTGTTGTGGCCTTGAGCATGAAGGGTGCTCATTGTGTTCTCGTGACAGGGTATAGTGGGAGGGAGGGGGGATAAAGAAATGGACAGAGGCCTTGGTGCTTTGGGTGAAGCGGCATCGTTCCAGGGTGGCATGGGCAGGATGACCTGCAGCCTGTGCTGTCCAGTACAGAAGCCACAAGCTGCACATTGAACACTTGAATTGTAGCCTGTCCACACTGAGATGCACTGAAGTGCACCTGCACCAGATCTTGAACACTTAGTATGAAAATAAGACTGTAACATAGCCTATTAATATTTTTATAGTGATTACATATTGAAATGATAATATTTTGTGTATATCTGGAGAAAGGAAAACATATCACTAAAATTAATTTAATTTTAAATGAATTAATATAATTACCTGTTTCTTTTCACTTTCTTAATGTGGCTACCAGGAAATGTGAAATCACTTATGTGGCTCTCAATATGCGCTGCTCTAAACCACGGGAAGGGAGAACATCCCTGCTCCAAAGCCTTGGATGGCTTTTCAGCAAGGATCAGCCTTGGGTCAGATGCCAGTGAGTAGTGTCATTAGATGTAGCTGGGACTGTTTCTGGGACACCCAGGACCACCAGGATCCCAGAAGAACGTGGGAGAGGCTGGGGGTCCTGCCAGGAGAGTCTGTTTGACACTGGAGGAAGGTTTCACTGAGGCTGCCATCGGCACGGTTCATGTTCTCCCATATCTGCTCCCCTCCACAAAGCTCTGCTGGAGAAACACCTGTTACATGTGTCATTGATGGAACCCCGTTAAAATGTAGTGAGAACGATGTGATAAAATCCCACATCTGTCAACCTCATGGACACAAACTTTGCAAAATTCTAATTTTCTCTTAAATGTTATCATTGGCAACAAGTCCTGTCAGTTGCTTTCTGAAGTTGCAGCCTCCACTTCCTTCATTTTAGAGAAAATGTTTACTAGATACCCAAGTCTGAATAACCATGGTTTGTCTCTCATTCTTTCAAGTAAAAATGCTGTTCCACGAAAATGTAGCTCGTTTAGCCCACAACTCAAAACAGTTACCAAGTGCTGATTCTGGAGAGAGCCACCATACTTCGCTGTGCAGATACGTGCTTATGTGTACTTCGGTTTTCTTACACAGAATAATGAAAAGATGTTTACTCACAGGTTGAGATTTAAGAGAAGAATGATTTTTAATGCTTCAAGAATATTCTTAAGTGTAACTGCCTTTTTATTTTCCACGAGTTCATGGCAGTGAAGAATATAGTAAATGTTAGTCACTGCTTTAGTTCATGCTAGATCACCGGCAGTCTTAGCCATCATCACTTTGCACTCCCAGTGCAGAGGTCTTTCAACCTTGCGGGCACCCTAAACATATCTTGGGGATTCCAAGGGGTTCATAGACCACACTTGGAGACCCAATCGCTGAGGCCAGTGAGGATCCATCTTTATGGGGCTAGGCTCACCGCTTACCCAGTCCTGTGAACTGAGAGGGAGGAAGGGGCACTTCCCCCAAAGAAATTCAAAGGGGTTTGTTTGGATTTGTTTGTTTTGGTTTCTAATGACAAGAAAAGTAATGAATACTGCCTGGCCAAAGTAACAGCCTTCCATACTATATTTATCATGCACACTGCTCTATAACCTACATTTTCTAAATTCCTTCAGAGAGTGGTAATGACGTTGTGTACCGCGTGCTGCTGTGTGCCAAGCCCTGTACGATTTTCTTTACGTATATTGTCTCACTTAACCCTAAGCAGTCCTCCGAGGGTGGAGACTTACATCATGCCCTTTTGCAGATGAGGATGCTCGTGGCAGTTAACTCTTCACCCAACCTTAGAGACCCAGAAAGTGGCAGAGCCTGGCCTCCAACCCAACTCTTAACTAAATCAAGATCCCAAATTTAAACATATTATGAACATCACCTGAGCCATTAAATATATTTTAATAAATGGATGATTTTCAATCTTTTTTCTTTTAAGTCACCGGTGGACCCTTTCATCCAATGAAATCTTAAACAGAAGCTAATCTGTAAAACAGATCAAAGCAAAGCCACTGGTTCTAGGGGGAGGAGACCTGTGGGGCTGGGCAGCCTCAGGTTCTCCCCCGTCCTTGGGTCACCCTCGTGGAACCTTGGAGGAACTACTGTGGTTCCCAGTACCCTAGGATTAGGTGAGGGGTTCCAAACCTACCAGTTTGAACCTCCCTGTTCCTGCAGTATACTCTTTAAAGATCTGCTCTGTGTGGGAGGGTGGAGGTGAGTCATTTTCCAGAAAGCCCTGTAGGGAGGGAAGTGGCTTGCTTTGCTTTCTGACCTATAAATCTGAACTTCTTTCCTTTCAAAGAGGATTCACCCCGGGTCTCCTTTGCCCACTAGTAGTTCACTTTAAAAGTGATCGATGCAGGATGCCATCCTAGAACTTCAGAAGCTTGTCTCTGGGGCGAGAGACAGTGTGCAGTGTGGGAAGGACCAGGGGAGGGAAGACGTGGGCCCTGGTCTGACCTCCTCACGAATCACTGACTGTATAGGAGTCACTCTCCTGTCTGGGCATCAGTTGTGCTGTACTATTACTAGAATGGTGGATCAGAGTGAGAGGTGGCTCCTAACCTGTGTGAGAATTTGAAAACACCCAAAATGAACAAACACGGAGAAATCCGATTTTGCATGGCATTTCAGGATTTTTTCATGCACTGCTTGGGAGTGGGAAGGAAGGGATGTCTCATGTTAAGAACTCTTGGATTAGGTTAATTGTAAGATTCCTTTAATTTGTGAAAAATTATGTAAATGTGGAATTATTCATGAATTTCATTTGTGGTTCCAAATAATTATCAATTTCAATGTAATATTTTATCAGTGATTATTAATGAGGTGTATGTGGTTGCTGGTAAATATTAAAGTGTATTGTGAGAAACTAAAAACTCTTAAAAATGGCAACACTCTAATTCTGCCACTGGCAAAATAGTAAGTCAAAAATATTTGTCCTTCATTCTTTGCTTCTGGCTAGAGCCTCATTAGCTCAATTATTTACCTACACTAAAAAACAGGAATAAAATTATAAGAATATTATATAGAGGTACAATAATTTGTGAGCATATATAGACCTTCATTTTATAAATATACATTTTATAATTTTTACTGAAAAAGTAATCTTGTTATTGTTTTGTGGCTTTTTTCCCCAGATACTGTAAGAAAAATTCTACAAAAGAATTTTGACCTCTCACCTGAATATGAGAAGGTAATTTTTATTGATGTATTTGTTATTAAAAATAAGCATGAGCAAAAGTTTGGCTGACTTGAAAGTAAGTCTTTAAACAACCAGTTAATTTGTGAATTTAGTAACCTTTTTTGTCTAAGAACTTTTATGGAATATTGAAACACCTTATAAATCTCCTTTGAAGGACAGCAGAGAGTTCAAAAGTAGCATTTGAAGAAGCATTCCCCTGTCAAGCTGTATGTTATTTAAAAACTAAAATTTCCTTAAAGGAAGTATTATGCTACTTTTTTAACTAAGAGAGAACTCTCTAACTAAGTAGAATTGTTTGAACATCCCTACAAACAGGGACACATACATACTTTGTTTTAAAATATAGTTTGTTAGAAAGTAGCTTCCCATTTGAACAATGTTTACTGAGCACTCTGTGTGTGAACTTAGCTAGGATTGGAAGGGAGATGGAGATGAGGAAGACAGCCCTTGGTCTCAAGAGGCTAAGAGGCAGACAGCAGAGACAGTACCTAATTACGTATTTGAGGAAGGAGAAGAAGGAAATCAGTAGATTTATAAGTAACAGGCAGAGGAATGAAGAGGAACAATAATTAATTCTGACCAAAAGCTCTTCCGTGAGGAGCTGACCTTGGGGCTTGTTGTAAAATGGGTAAGCAGGCCTGGAACAGGTAGGGAGGTGGCTTTGCTGGCATTCCAGGCCGTGGAGACCATGTGAGCAAAGAGGACAAGGTGTGAAAGAAGGAGGCCCATGGATGGGGCCGGTGGGCAAGGAGGGAGAGGAAGGAGACGTGAGCTGGGGCCAGATCGCCGGAAGGCCTTGGACGCCTTGCTAAGACGAGTGGACAGTATTTTCAGGAAGTGTCGGGTCACCTTGCACGTCTCTACCTAACACCAAGGTGCTGCCAGATCACTCTGTTTGCATCGATGGTTGACTACCTAAACAGAGAATGTGTTCTTTTGATTTTTGTTTATGAGGAAAGTAGTTTGCCAGTGAAACAAACAAACAAATGTTTGTTGAATTGAAGGTTAGGATAATAAAAAGCAATTGAATCTCTTTGTCAGGCTCTTAGTCCTGCAGGGTCAGGCACCCTGTTTTCTCCTTTCCTGGTACGAAGGTGGTTATCAAGACGACAGTGAAAACACACATATGGGTGGGCATTCTTTAACGGCCAGCACAACAAAGGTGTCTGGCAGTGTGCCCAGGGGGTGTGAGGGCAAAGTACGGGGAGGGCAGTGAGTTCCTGCCAGTGAATGGTTTGCTGGTGTCCTATTAACCATATCAGACCAGGCTGACGCTTGGGTGGGAAAATGAAACACAAAAGAATCAGCTGACTTGTGGCTTACTGGTGATTCTGCCCTGGCCACAGCCCGTGTGATCAGCCCTTGGAGCCACGAGCAGGTTTCCCAAACGCACCTAATCATCACCATGACACGGGCTCGTTTTAAAGTCAGATTCCCGGTCTTACCCCAATCTCCTAACACCCGCTCCAGGGAGGAGCCTGAAGTCAGTCTCATATGCCCTGAGAGGTGCTTATGGTTGGCGAGTTGGAGAGGTAACAAGCCTGTGGGGCTCACTCCCAAGAAGGAAGGCTGAGGTCTTTCAAGATGCCCCGTGTGACCCAAGGAGCAGGTGTATCTGAACTGCCTACCCCCACATTTTGGATGCCTCATTTAAAAGTTATTAATATCACGAACATTATTCTTTCACATCTGTGAAAATCTGCCATCTAAGGCAATAGTTTCCAAACTTGCCTGGACCAGACAATTTCAGAAAGGTAATCTGGGGAATGAAATAGAGCCACCTCATTTTATTTTGCCACATAAAGACATTTAAAGTCAACCGTAACAACAAAAATAACTTTGTCCGCTTCGTACACATATCACCTCGCTCTCCCCAAAAAAGGACAGCCTTATAAATTGAGAAAATTTTGCTTTATGGGAAACTCATTGCATTGTCTTTATTTTTCTACTTTGCTGAGATTGGTCCCCCTCACTGACCAGCCCCCATCTCTGGACCACTGTTTAGGAGTCATTGGTCTAAGGCAGTGGCTTCTACTCCCTCAACTCCTCAGTTGTCTGATTCTGATTGGGCAACTGTTGTATGCCAGGTCCCGGGCTGGGTGCCTGGGGGAGAATGGTGAGTGTGACTGCCATCGTTCTTGCTCTTCTGGAACGTATAGTGTGGCTCAGGAAATGGTCACATGGGAGCCAGTCACTCTGAGTGGAGTAAGTACTGTGACATGGCAAGTTAGGACTCCATGGCAGCATGAAGGAGGGATATACAGCAAACCCAAACCTGGTTATCAAGACAGGCTTCCTGGAAGAAGCAACATCCAAACTTAGACTTGAGTTTCATCAGAGGAACAGTGATGGGAATAATGTTCTGGGCAAGCAGGCAGCATGAGGAAGCCCAGAGTGAGGAAGGAGAGAGAGAGCATAATGCTTTCTGGGGACTAGAATGGTCAGGGAGAATGGGGACAGGAAGCCAGGATTAAATAATATAGGACCATGTTAAGAGGTTCACAAGCAAATGATATCATCAGATTGTCATTTTAGAAAGGACACTTTGGAAGATGTTGCCTTTGGCTCTGGGGTTCCAGGCATCTGCTGATTCTGTGTTACGAATATCACAGGGTTAGTGTGTTAAGCACTGGTGACTTGCGCTCTAAATCCCCTGTCCATACTGATTAGCATACTGATTAAGAATCTTTCAAGAAATCCAAATGTAAATTCAAATGTAAATTCCAAAACTTGACTCTACCCAAAACACTATTTCTCTAATAAACACTCAACTTTCATATTCCTGTCTGGTGTTGATCCTTCTCTCACTTGATTTTCTCGGTGTGGGATATTAATGTTCTCACTTGTTAATCACTCACGGAACTTTCTCTGTTTTCTCTATGCCTGCTGCCTCTGCCTTTCGCAAACTCCTCAACTGCTTTGACTTCCGCAGCCAGAAACCATAGTCTTGATTCTGAAGGTAAAGTCCTTGTCCACTGTTTCTCGTTGTTCTCTGTCTAAAGCCAGTGAGTACAGTAGTGTGATGCTCTTGCCAGAACTTTCTGTTCTTCACTGTCATCTCCATTGTGATGGCTTTTAAATTATTTGTTTCCTGTTTGTTTCCACCATCATCTTTAATCTTCTCTTACAGTTTTAGTAGTTCACGAAAGAACAGCGACCCATCTTTGCAAATTTAAATCTTGATCTTCTCTTCAACATAACCCACAAAGCACTCTGGACATCTTGTGTCAGAAAATAACTTAGGTCCTTGCCAGACCTTGGCTAGACTTCAGCCTAGAAGTGAACTCTTGAAATAATGTATCTTGTTCCTGATCTGTCTGACATAAATTTAGTCAGTAACATTGGAAAGGTTACATATAAAATTCGTATTTGGAGCTAAAGATAGTGCATTTAAAACATTTCAATACACCTTCTCTGCTGGGTTTGGGTTCAGCGTCTCCTGGAATTCACAAAGGATTTTAAATTCCTTTAAAAATAGTAAATAAGTTAGAATATTTTCTGAGAAATGATAGTAAAATGTATAAGAGTTTGGAGTGTCTGGGGCTGGTTTCTCAATTGGCCAATGATGTGAGAGCTCAAGGGAGTGTTAAAAGCGCCAGCAGATAATGACTCTTCATGGCCATGGCGGGGGGACTTAGTTTAAACAGGAGCATGTGCTTGATGAATGCAGCAAAAGTCTACCACCTTTTCTTCTTTTTAGCATTTTAACCTTAATATTGGAGTAGGTAATATTGAAGTGCCATGTGCACCTGGCTTAATACTCTTAAGCATTTGCTCACAGAGTTAACTAATATTAATTGAATATTTCGGTGTGCTGGGCACTTGGCTAGTTGTTTTCACATTAAATCATTTAATTATATGTCCCTTACAATATGCTTATGAGGTTAATGCTAATGTAACATTTTCCAGTTTAGGGACCTAGAAGCCCCCTGCTGGGGTTTAAAGCAGGTCTTCTGACTCCAAGTTCAGGGCTCTCTCTCAAGATATCACGTTTGCCCCTAAGAACAACACTTGTGTTTTGTTTTATTTTGCTCAGCTTGGCTTCAGAATCTATTGCTAACTAGCTGGTCCATTAGTTGCAAACTGTCAACCTGTAATTTTCTGCCATTCTTTACAAATGTCTTGCTTTATGGAAATGTGAGTAACTGCATATATGAATTGGACCGAGCTCAAGTTTTGTCATCCAGTTGCATTAATTTTTATTTATCCCAAAATAAAGCCAGCAATGATTATGTAAATATACTTAGGTCACGTGATTCTATCTAGAAGTTGTGCCAGTTCCTAGGAACCTAGCAACTGTCTGAGACACGGGCTGCCCAGCCCAGCCTCACTGGCATGGCGTGAGAGGTGCCACTTAGTAAACATCTACTCTGTGCCAATTATTTTACTTGGCTTGTTATCGCTAATCATACATTTTCTGTAATTTTCACAATGACCTTACAAGGTATATATTATCATTCCCAGTATATGGATGGGGAAGCCAAGAGAGTGGCCATGTCTGACTCAGAAAGTCTGAGCTTTTTCTTATATTTAGATATATTCCGGATTCTTTTGTAACTAACTATGAATTTGTCGTTAATTGATCCAATCCAATCTGCTTTGAATCCTTAATAAAGTCGACTGGGCCTATCTTTCTGGTGAAAATCACCCTACATGCAGATTATTCATTACGCAAGTACTTCTGCCAAAATTTGTCATCCCATGTAAAAACAAACAAAATACCTTTGGAGTTGAAATTAAACCATTTGCAACTTGACCCTGAATTTGGACATTTTCCTGGGAGTTGAAAGAGGATAGTAACTGCTCGGTGCCATATTCTGATAACTCAAATCTCTGCTGCCTCTGTTTCAAGGAGCTTCACAATGGGAATGTAGATATACACACACACACCCATTAAGATTCAACTCATAGTGGCAAATAGGTTAAAAAAATGCAACGTGTATGTTGTGGAATGTTCTGCTTGCTATTTTGTGTTACAGTCTATGCTGTTTCTTTTGTTTGACTTGCAGATTATCTCCTATGAAATCGGGATTATTATTTGTGCTGTCCTGGGACTGCTCTTCATTATTCTGATGCCTCTGGTGGGGTTTTGCTTTGGTTTGTGTCGTTGCTGCAACAAGTGTGGTGGAGAAATGCACCAGCGACAGAAGAAAAATGGGACCTTCCTGAGGAAATATTTCGCAGTCTCCCTGTTGGTGATTTGTGTGTTTATAAGGCAAGTAGAATCATGGACAACAGCTGATTGTATTTTAGGTCGATGAGGAATGTCTCATGTTTTAACTGTTAAGCCCATGAGTTTAAAACAAAACAGCAACAACAACAAAACCCAAAAACAGAAGAGAAAAAAATGTTTCTGTAGGTCGGTTCAAAAAGATGTCACTGTAACCAGCAGTTAACATTGTAATCAAGCTGCCCTAACTCACACGATAAGCCAACCCTTTGGTATTTTTCCATCCTGAAGACATCCTGATAAATCTTGCACTACAGAAAGCATTTAGCTCCCAGAATAGCCCCTCCTTCCTCTTAAATAGGCAGTGCAGAGCCAGTATTTGCTAGTTGATTTGTTCACCCAAGGGGTATCTTGAATGATGGATACAGTCCTTGAATTTGAGAATTTGAGAATATTGTAGAATGGAATTTACTTTCTAACAATATGCCCAGTTTCCTTGAATTTGCAATTAAGCTGCTACCCCCTCTTGAGGTCTGGAACACACCTCATGATTTGGGATGTTTTTTCTGCAGCTCCTGCTGCTGCTAAAAGTTTTCCAATTGACCGACAGATCAGAAGTACACTGTTTTTAAGACGATGATTTTGGGTTGAGTCCAAATCAGGTTCTTCAGCTGAGGAACGTGCTTCACAACACTGGCGCCCTGGTTGTGATGTTTGGTCATTGTTCCACATTTCCTCATTCATTCCACCACTGGAAGTTGTGTCACTTAGTGACGGAAATAAAGTATCTACCGCCTGAATAATACTAGGCCTCAAGGAGACACAGAAACAATGAGCATTGGCAGTCAGCATCCTCCTTGATGTATCTCTAAGCACTGCATTTGCTCGGTAGCTGTGAGCAAGATTTTTCAAGTGGTTTGCTAAATAATTAATATTTGAAAATTTAAGCAGAAAACAGAATTAAAGAGAAATTAAACAAAATTAAACAGAAGAATTTAAGCTGGCCTACCAGCTGAAGTTCTAGCTGCAAACTCAAGAAGAAAAGTTCTTTAAGTGTGGCCATCAGTAGGGGCCTGGTAAGGTAGACACTTTGGGATAGATTGAATGCAATATACCCATTGCCGTTGGAAAGGACTGGGCAGCTGTAGATGTGCTTATGGGAACAGTCCCCCAGCAAGATGAAGTGAGAGAAGCCGGTTGTGGACCATGCGTAGGACACACCATCCTTGATACAAACAAAAAGGGAAGGAGACACAAACGCTTGGTTACATTTGCATAGAATATATATGAAAGGATTGCCAGGACTCTGGCGATGGAGGTTGCCTCTGGGAAGGAAATTGGCGGTTATGGAGGGGCAGAGAGGGAACTCACTTTTTACTGCAGACAGACTTTTTGTCTCTCAAATTATCTACCCTACTCAGGCATTACATACTGAATTAATTACACTAAAAGTTAAACTTGAACAACCAAAAAATTCCCACAAAAAACAAAAGCCAAAGCAATACTTCTTCTTCCAAGGCAGTCATTTTTTAAAATAAACACATACATTTGCTGAAAAAATAGTGAAGTCCTAGACCGTAGCAATGTACTTGTAAACAGGATCCCAGTGAGCATGGTAGATAATCTCATGCACCGTTGTTTGTGTTTTCTCCGCAAGCTGGGGGTGGGGGCATCTCTCACTCTCTCTTTACTGTCTCCTTGTCCGTCTCTGTCTCCGTCTCTCTGTAAATAATTCGAATCCAACTGTTTCTTCACATTGATTTCTGCAAAGCAGCTCAGGATCGGGTCAATGGTAATTCCAGATGTCCTTGTCTCTCTGCTTTGCGTCTGAAGTATTTTCAGGAATGCACAGACTCTACAGCTGTGGGAACAGTTACCTTCTGCCCCGCTACCAGAAAAATGTCAGTTATAGCCCAAAGACAGGCCAGATCCTTGTGCATTTCCTGTAAGCCTGAAACCTACATCCTTCATTCATCCAAAGACTTGGACAGCTGTGCTTCTCCTCTCGGTACATCCTGGACATCAAAGATGAGGCTCAGACGACAAAGTGTCATTTGAAAATACTGGCCCTTAGGGCTTTTTCTTAGTGTGATTACCTACTTAACAAGTTCATGGTTTTCACTTGATATAAATACATATGATGTAATTGCAGGAAAATTCTTTATTGGATATAGTTACTCATTTACCCAAATAAATGTTTGCATATGTAATTATGGGGTTTCAGGGTTTTTTTTTAATGAAGCATATTTCCTGTATTGAGTTTCTATTTTTAAATTGGACCTTTATTTGCATTACATATAATTATATACATATACGTACATATGTATACATCTATATAATGTTATATACATTATAGTTCACCTTAAACTGATTGAATTATTTACATTATGTTTAAAATACCAAAATATATAAACAGCAAAGCTGCCAAGTCAGAAATAAACTTGGCTTTCATTTATGTATAAAATAAATGCTACAATCCTTTATTCTTGAGAACTCAGACCCATCCAACAAATTTAGATAAGTTTTTTCCCCTGAGTGTATTTTAGTTTAGAAAGTTCTTCTTAAAAAATACATACTATGATTCTATAACCTCCTACACATTCAGTTAAAATATTTTTTCCCCACCCAAGTAAAATCTTAAAGTCAATTTTAATTTTAAAGTCAATTTTAAATTTCGGTATAATTAAATCAAAGTTGATCTAAGTGACAAATTGAAAACTAATTTGTTTCACATAATAGATTGAATTCATATGTGAATTATAAATAGATCTAAATAAAAGTAGTATTTGAGATTGTTTTGTTTACTTTAAATTCAGACTAAAAGTTTAAAGTTCTTTGCCTTGAATTTTTTTTGTTTAGAATAGCTATTTTGATGTTTTCCTTTTGAAACACATATTGGTTTGCAAGTATCTTCAACATTGTGAGTTGAATAATAGCTATGTGTTGTTTGCAAGTAATCAAAACCAGCCCAGAAGAGTAAAGACCAAGGGAAAGCAAAGATTTCTATATTATAATTAGATAGAGAGGAGAAGAAAGTATGGCCACAAAGTCAGAAGATCAAATAAAATAGGAGGGGAAAGAATGTCAACAAACTAGATGACAGAAAGAGAAAGAAAAGGAGGTGTTAGCTCCTGGCTTACGTTGACCTCAGCAGAGATCGGATACTATTGATAAATAACCTTTGTATATGATTTTTTAAAAACCCTTTCAGAAACCCAGAATAGCCCACTTGCCTTTTATCAGGCTCAGTTCCATTTTGTGCTCTATACTAAGTGTTACAATCAAAAATGAAGTTGGTTTTTAAATTAGTGTTGAGTACTCTAATTTTTCATCCATCCTTTTTTATTTAAGAAAGGTTAAATTTATTATTATTTTTTTTGAGAAAGGCATAGGTGTCAAGGAGAAAGAGCCCCTAGTATATGCGGAATAGCTGTGGTCATGTTCTTTCTCAGCTTTTCCAAAGGCAGCTGTGGAATGTTAGAATTCCACAGGCGTTGACACGTGTTTATGCAGCAGAAGATGGAGTTTCCACCTCTCACTGTAGACTGTTGAGGCAGATGTGTCCCGCTCCTGAAAAAGCCAAATTTCTCCTCCCTTCTTTCCTTTGCCCTTGTCATCACTGCATTTTTTAGAATTTCAAAAAGGTTATAGACAACAAAAGGAACCACCGTGCCTTTATTCCTCTAGTATATCTCTAAGTTTCCGAGTATGATAAGTCAGCTTTTGCCAATTACCGTGGTAAAAATTGAATCTCAGTCATCTTTAGGAAGATGGCTATTTTCAAAGTTCATTTTTTATTAGGATATGATTGTCAATTCCTGGCTTGGAGGCCACAAGATTTTAGGAAAAAAATTGAGCTGGCAAGCCTGAAAATCATGAGACTTTCATAAAGTAAATGAAAGGGCTAGTTATTTAAAATCCGAATTTAAATTTAAAAAATTATCTTAAAGAAATTAAGAGATCAGTTACAGATTGAAAGCATTTACTAGGCTTTTATTGGCTGATTTCATTAAATCAATAGAAATTGATAGGAAAAAATTGCTACAAATTTTAAAAGTTTAGTCTTAATCTGTAAAAGCTTTAAGTATTTACTTTTTAAAGTATGCCTGTGAGAAAATTGGTCTGTCCATGATAAAATATAGAACATATAATGCCAATATACCATAAAAATTAAAATTCCTATCTTCTGCTAAAAATTTCCAGAGATTTTGTTGTACTGCATACAAGTACATGTTTTTGAAAGCTTAAAGGCTTTTATGTGAAATGCTAGAGTACTGATAGTCATTCAAATTTTATTCCTTTTTTGTATGAGGTGAATTTCCTTCAGGATCCTGAAATCCTAATAGTCGACTAGCGTTTGTTAAAAAAACCAAAAACATTAATTCATGTGTTTTTTTTGGGGACGGGGGCTTATAAAATACATTGAATAATAAAGAATTTCTAAATCAACAGCAACAAAAAGCATAACTTCTTCATTCTCTATTTGTGTTTAAATAGAAGTTTTAAATTAGAGATTGCAAATGGAGACCATCAATTGGTTTGCCTAATATTTAAAGTTTTTTTTTTCTTTTGATCAGTTGCTAGTATTTAAAAATGGGAGATTTTACATAAGAATCCAGATTTCCAGGTCTGCCATCATGGTGACACTTGCTAGAACTGTGGAGCAGCTGCCCCCACCCCCGTCTTTGATCTCTCAGCTCCCATAGCTCCATGCCACACTTTCCCCTTCATGCTTTCTGCCTGCCCATGTAGGCATTTGAATTTGCCATCCTTAATTTGAATATAAAATTTACAATGTATTATGGGTCTGAAAATCAGCTTTGACAGTTGCTGAATTCTATTTCAGAATTCTGTTCAGTACATACAGTTTTTTAAATAATGATCAATGCTTTCATTTTAATTGGGTCCATAATTTATTAACAGAATTGTGGGGCTTTCTAAATGTGTTACATTGAAATTCACTGTTGTATTGCAATGTTGTGTTGCAGTTCATCTTACTGACTGATGATCTTGTGAGTAAAGACATTTATTCAATAAAGGAACAATGTAGTTTCTGACTTAGACACTCCAACCATATGGGTAATCTTTTAAATGGACCAAATGAAACAAAGCCCAGTCCTCAAACCCACCTTCATTGAACACCCGCCGTGGACAAGAGACCCTACATCCTGCCAAGTTGACAAAGAAGCAGTTTCCACTTCTTTTTAGAGAAATTAAACATAAGTAGAGATAAAGACAAAATAGAGTATAAATGAGAAATTCCCCATCAGAATTTCAGGAGATCATTCTGGGAGTTCAAGGCAAGGAGTTTCTTCTCCCGTCCAGGGGGGTCAGTGAAAGCCAAGTGGACTTGAACTTGCTGTTGGTTTCCCAAGTTCACTTTGACTTCTTAAATGACAAAATGGGTCTAGACCATGTGAATGACAGATAATTTGGACATGCTGGGGAGAGACAGCAAGGGCGCCCAGTGTGAAATCTTGTGGTGGGCAGATGTATTCAGGTGGTGGTCATTGTATAGAATGTTTGAAATTTGGCGTGGTAAATAAAGCTCCAGGCGCATTGCTATGACTCAACTTTTTTTCCCCTCCCTGTTCGCACTACTCCAAAGTCCTTGTTTTGGGTCATTTGGCCTTATTTGGCATGAGTGCATCATTTAATAACCATTATTGCTGTGACATAATGTCTGCCTCATAAGAACCAATGCAGACTCGAGGCTGACAAAAATGGATTATAGGTGGTCATTTCATCAGCATGAACCCAAACAAAAAAAAATCTTAGAGAATTTGTGAACATTCTGTACCCCTCTCCTTTGCAGCCTGAGAAACACTTATCTAATCTAATTTTCTGTTTTGTGATACCAACTGAGGCTCACAGAAGGAAAGTGACTTTCTCAAGCTCACACAGTGTGGGTTAGTAGCAGTGCTGGGACTAGAACCCCAGTCTCATGTTCCTTCTCCAGTACACATACCGTTACAACTTGTTAACCATATGAAATATTGTTCAACATTGTGTTATAGACTTTTTTGGATTCATTTGGAAAACCTAATGCACCTGTGTGATACTGCTATGGGAAAATATGTTTTAAGTGAGACTGCAATGAACCAATGCTCCTTGGAACGAATCATGACTGTAAATAGGGTGAATGACAGTCCCACTTTACCCAAGACTGAGAGGTTTCCTGGGAGCATGGAATTTTTGATCCAAAAACAGACACTTGGCCACCCTACCTGTAAATATACGAATGCATAAAGCTTAAGACGTTGCTTTTGACAAAGAAGCAAAGTATTGATATTCTGCATCAGAATTTTTTCCCAAAGTTTGCCTATTATTTGCAAAACTTTGTTCTAGAAACATATCCACACCATCCATTGGATGGGTACAAACTAACAATTTGTTACAAACTAACAATTTTTTTGACTTCTGTAGGTAAAATGTTGGGAGTGTTGTGAGTTTATGCAATTCTTTGCTGCCATCTAGTGGCCAAATCTAAAAGCGCCGTGGCAATTAGCAATTTTAAGTGGAACTTTTTAATCTTCCAAGGATTTGGCACAAAAACAAGCCAATTGGTCAAGTTAATTTAAGTCAGGGGATTGATAGTAACTAGTCAACATTAAGAGCCCTTAAAGTGATTAAATGTACACATTTTAGATGGCTTGAAAAATATGTTTTTCAGGTACGCTATTGTGGCTTTTCATACAACATTCTAACGCTCAAGTAACTCGTTTCTTTTCAACCTGGATAATACAAAACTAACAGAGACAATTAGAGAAACCAAAAACATCAGAAAGCCCAACCCACTCGGATCGTTTGGTATTTTCCTGATAGTCTTCTTTGTGGGGAGCAGAGATACGCGTGTGGGGTGTGTTTGTGTGTGCATTGTGCTGGAGGGTGTGTACCTACATCCCCGTCTGTACAGGAATAGGACTATATTACACACACTGCCATATAACTTTGTAACTTCTATTTCCTCCACAATTTATTGTGAACATTGTTCCATTTATAAGATTCACATTATAAAAATGTATCTTGAATGGATGTGTGTCTTCTCTGAGAGGACTGACTCCTGTTTTGTGGCCCACATGTTGGTGGCCAGTGGATTATGGGGTGTAGGCAGGACGGCTGTAGCAGTGGGAGAGGCCAGGGTTGGGGAGGAAGGTCCTGTCCTTCCAGGGGCTCTGCAGAGAGGACCTGTCCTCTCCCACCTGCGGTGCTGCCCTGCACCAGGCCAGACGACCACCGATCACACAGTAAATGCTGTTCCTTCCCTTTTCCTTCTCCTGCAGCATTGGTATCATCTTTGGTTTTGTGGCAAACCACCACCTAAGGACCCAGATCGAAAAGAGTCGGCAACTGGCCGACAGCAACTTCAAAGACCTGAGAACTCTCCTGAATGGAACTCCCGCGGTAAAAACCACAATCTGTACATCCCACAATGCTTTGTGTTTTGGGCCTTTTGGAGTTCCTGTATATATTTAGCATCTCATTTGGACCTCCTAGGAATCCAGTGAATCAATGTAGATAGGTGTTATCTTTTAATTTTGTAGATGAAGAAATAAAGTCCCATTAAGTGGTTTCTAAAAGACTACAAAAGCATAATTTCAGAATTGGTGTTTTTATTTTATTTTATTTAAAAGTATAACATAAAATTATAGTACATATTATAAAAGTGCTTAAAAAAATCTTTGGGTGCCATTATCCTTTCTTTTTGGCAATATAGTTAACACTTCATCATTTACATGAAGTTGCCTTTGTAATGAAACCTATCTGCTTTCTAAACATCCATTTGTAGTATCTGTATAAATGTGTGAAATTCCTTGAGGAGGGTACACACGCATGCGTGCACGCGCACACACACACACACACACACACACAGAAGTTGTCTTTAGGGAAGGGGAACTGGGTGGCCTGAGGGCACATTTTTCTGTATCCCAGGAGCGTGTTGATGTCTTGCCTATTCAGAACATTGTTTTTAAAAATGTCTGAGCAGAAACCAGTCCAGACATATGATGCTGAGCTCCTGGGTACCACCATGGGGAGAAGGGATGCCCTCCTATTGGATTCACTAATAAGAGCCCAACAGAATCCATGGGCCCATCACATAGTGATAGTGTTCTTCCTAGTTTATTATATTCTAAAAAATACTAACACTTTAAATATTGTACTAGTTTTTAAAAACGTGATTGGAACTAAAAGAGCAAAGAGTGCAGGCATTTGTTAATATTGAGATTAGAGAAGCTAATTTTATCCATAGTTTTACAGCCTGTACAGAGAGGAAAATGTATCATTTTCCCAATCTGTGAATAAAAATTCATAATATTTTTTATGAGTCATTCTAAAGACTCCAAAGTGAAACCTTTCCCTTAAAATGTTGACAAAATTCAATACATAGCAATCATGGCTGGTGAACTTTGACATTGCTTTGATAAACTGGGAAGGATAGTAAATCATTATGACTGTGGAGGAAACTTATCTAGTTCAAAATATGCGAAGAGCTCTTAAATCTATAAAAAATTAGGCAGAGAATGTGAATAGTCAATTTACAGAGGAAATAATAACAGGCCCCAAACATATAAAGAAATTTAACCTTACTCTAGTAATTGGAGAAATGAAAAAATTAACGATGCACATTTTCCCTGAGCAGATTGGCAACAGTTATTTAAAAATGGTAACACCAGTGTTGCAGAGGGTGTGGGGAAGAGGAAGATAAGGAGCCCCTTTGGAGGCCAGTTCAGTAATAGCCACTAAATAAAATGGTCCTAGTGCGGTAGATTACAAATGGCTTCGAATTCTTTGGAGTTCCTCCCTTCAAGAGGTGGATCTCTTTCCAGCCTCTCAAACCTGGACTGTCCCTGTGACTTGCTTTGACCAAATGAATGCAGTGGACATGACCCTGTGCCAGTTCTGAGCTGAAGCTTCCAGAGGCCTTGCAGCATCCACTCTTGTTCTCTTGCTGCTGGGACCACCATGCTGGACCACCCAGGCTGGCCACTTGGAAGATGAGAGGCTACACAGAGAGAGGGGTCCATTTGTCCCCAGCCAAGTTGGCCTGAACAGAAGATCCACATAGCCAATCCACAGAATCGTGAGAAATCATGTTTCTCAAGCCAATATGCTTTGGAGTGTTATTAAAAAGTCTGAGTGTCAGAAAATATAAATATCTCTAAGAACCTGCTTTCTTCTAAAAAGTTCTGATTCAAAATAATTTTTGTATATTAAATCTCTTTTTATTGTGGCTTTGGACCTTAGAAGAGGAGGTTTCATGTAATTTATTTTCTATTTTTTTATTTATTTTTAGCAAATCGACTACATTCTGGGCCAGTATACCACCACGAAGGAAAGGGCATTCGCAGATCTGGACAGTGAGTAAAATTAGAAGTTGCCTCAAATTTTTCTGTTTGTTTGTTTTGGCTAAAAGATGGTATGGCCGTCTCCCGTAAAATACAGACAGAGACATGAAGTGTGCTGTTTCTACAATTGCTGCGTGCAAGTCGGGGAAAAACAGAAAAGTAATTCCCTAGAGTTACTGATGGTTTGCAGTTTGTTACTCAGTGACGAACAGCCAGCATTTATTGTAAGAATGTTTTTGCTTTCTTGTCTTGACGAGCGCTTGTTCTTCGTTCCCCACGTGAGAGGAAATGGGTCTCTGTCAGGTCCGCTGGTAAAGACAGAAATGGGCCCCACAGAGAATCCAGTGGGCTGCAGAAGTAGAGGGGTGGGCAGTGCTGTCCCCACAGGGCCCTCACACACAGTGGTTCCCAACCTGGGGCTGTTTTGCCCTCGAGACAACATTTGGCAACATCTAGAGACATGTTTTCCTGTCCCAACGGAGTGAGGGTAGGGGGACAGTGCTACCAGCATCTGTTGGTCGAGACCAGGGACGTGGCTAAAAATCCTGCAGTGCACGGGCCAGCCCCCCGACAAAGAATTATCCGTCCCAAGATGTCATTAGTGCCACGGTTGAGAACCCCTGGTCTAGCTGAAGAGACGAGGGGCACAGCAGTCGTGGCTCAAGACGATAAACACCGTGTTCCTAGTACAATTAAATACTGGGCTGTGGTGGGTAATTTTTCACTGGGGCACAGCCGGTGAGGAGACTTTGAAGAGAGTGACGAAATCTCCACACAAGAGTCAACATGGGGCTAGAAGGAAAGACGGGATTTCACGGCACGAGAGATTGAAGATGTTTTCCAGGCAATGAAATCCTGCATTGTGAGGAGAGTGAGCGGTAGGAGGGGAGGATAAGTGGAGCCCACCCTCACAGTCCCTTATGTTTCTTTGAATTTAGACATTAAATCACTGCTAGGAGGTGGAATTCATGAACAACTGAAGCCTAAAGTGATCCCGGTGCTCGATGACATCAAGGCCATGGCAGAAGGTAAGCGCAGTGACAAAAGTGACCAAGGATGTTCCCCCCAGAAGCCTCAGGCTCCCTGTGATCACTCTCCTTTCCCTTGTTTTCCCTGAATGTCGGCTGGAGCGAGAGCCCACAGTCTATAGTCATTCGAACAGGCCCGGTAAAGACCCACTGTGTCACAACGGGTTTTTTTTTTTTTTTTTTTTAAAGATTGTGCCAAAGCTATTGTATCAATGATCTAAAAGTCTTTTGAAATAATAGTAGCAGAATTTGATAGGAGCCCGCCACCCATTTTTGGAAATAAAGTTGTTGGAGCGCAGCCTGCCTCTCTGTGTAGCTATCATCTGTGGCTGCTTCCACACTGATGGCGGAGTTGAATAGTTGCCAACAGGGACCATATGGCCCCACAAAGCCGAAAATATTTACTATCCAGTCCTTCATAGAAAAAGCTTATCGACTCCTGCTATAGGATTTTAGATCTTTTGGGGTCTATTCATTACTCCTTCCTTTTCTCCCTGAAAGAACAACTTTTGGAAAGTAGGAATATGCATTTATATTGTAAGCCACCACAGTCAATGATGTAAGTGAGCAGTGGTATACTGATGTTATTAAACTGCATATTCAACTTCAGTGGAAAAAAGAATACCCCAGTCTCTTCCAAATGTTGAGAAAATGTGCTAAGTATTTGATGAGAGGACAATTTTATCTATATAAAACATTTGTCATTGTGCCAATTTGAATTTCACTTTGATGAACTGGTATTCCTGAGAGGACAGACCACACAAGAGTGAATTGTGTGGAAGGTGGAAAAGTATGCCCATTGCTTTTGGCGTTCCGCCTCCCGCCTTAGAGTTCAAGGACTCAGACGAATGTCTGAGACAGGATGCCATGTGGCACAGGCCGGGAGTTGTTCAGATGAGTCTTAACTAACTGAAAGTCTTTCCTTGTCCTTCTCCTTGAACCCTGCAAAGGGTCCAGCTACAATCTGAAGGTGTGTCCTCTGCTATGGACACCTTGGGTGTCTCCAGATGCTCATTCTGTTCATCACCAACTATTTCCTTTTCATACAAGGAAACTCAGGCCCAGAGGAGGGACGTGGCTGCAAAGGCCCATGCCTCCTGCCTTCCTTTCCTAGCTTTCTGCATGCAGCTCCTTCCTTCCTTCCTTCCTTCCTTCCTTCCTTCCTTCCACACCTGGCCTCTGCCTATCATTCCAGTCACTTCCTGTCTTGAACCGCCACCCCCCACCTCCCATTCCAGGCCATGAATCTCAGTGTTCACTCTAGTGTAGGTCCCTAAGGTTTCATTCTCTCATACCCCTGTGCTGCATATGCTTCCTCTGCCTGAAATGCCTCAGAACCTTCTCTACCTCATCTTCTCTAGTTACCAAACCACAGCTAGTGTTCTCTCCTCTGAGAGCTTCTCCTCATATCCTGCCTCCTCTTTTCCCCATAATAGAGTGTGACAACCTCCAAATTGCTGCTACTTACTTTGCAACCCTAAATATACAGCTCAACTGCTATATTGACAGCATTGCCTCTCTTTAATAGAGGATGAGCTCCTTAAGGACAAGCCCTGCTGATTTTGTTCCCTTCTTTATTCCCTGTACCTAGCGCGGTCTCTGGCCTGGAGCACATTATCATTTCTTGAATGAATAAATGAATGGATATTCTAAGCACCTGCAACCCTGACATTAATTCTCTAAGTTTAGAATACTATAATTTCACTGTAGTGAAGTTTAGAATACTGTTAGAAAAGGAACTATATTCTTTCATAGTCCTGCCTCAGTTGCTAGGCAACTCCTTTTGAGTCTACAAGCCTCCTGACCTTTTACTTTTGATGTCGGTAGTTATTTTAACTTCATGTTTTTTTAGTTGCCCTCAATGTGCTCTGTGGATCGATCTATCTGTCTGTCTATCTATCTGTCTGTCTGTCTGTCTGTCTATCTATCTATCAACTATCTAAATGAGATTAAAATTGTTTTCATTTGCTTTGGGAATTTTGAATTCAATTCTTATATATAATTAGAGGTCTTTTGAAGGTGACATTGATGTGATATCAATGCCAAAGATCTTTTAAGTGGTTTAAACAATAGGAAACATATCACACACAGACAAGATATTAGAGGTAAGGCAGTTCAGGGTTAGTTGGTTCAGGGGTTCAACAACGTTGTCAGGGAGCCCCCGATCTTCATTGTCCCTTGTGCCATCATTAGTGTATTGGCCTGGTTCCCACTGAGTGTGTCACATGTACCTGGAGCTCGCATAGTCATCTTGAGTACACAATGGCAAAGGTGATGGTGTGTCACTTCTGAGCTTCCATCTCAGTCTCTCTCTCTCTCACTCATCACTCACCCTGGGAAGCCAGCTGCCATGTCATGAGCAGCCCTATAGAGAAGCCCACATGGCGAGGACCTGAGGCCTCTTGTCAACCAGGCATTGAGTTAGGAAGCCAATCCTCCAGCCCCAGTCAAGCTTCAGATGAATGCAGCCCCAAGTGACAGCTTGAGTGCAACCTCACGGGAGATCTTGAGACAGAGCCACCCAGCTAAGCCAATCTCAGATTCCTGACCCTCGGATACTGTGTGGGATAATAAATGTTTATAGTTTCAAGATGCTGACTTTTGGAATAATTTATTCTGCAGCAATAGATAACTGATACAGTAGGCATTCAACAGTGCCAATTATTTTCCTAAACTATTAATGACTAGTTAGCATGGAGAAAGAGAACTAAAACCTTCTCATTCCCCTAGTCGATATATACTATGTTATTGTGACTCCTTATCAGATTTATAATACTTCTTGATTTTAAGGCCGCATGTATTGTAAGACCATTGGTTTACTAAATATGTTTTTTGGGAAAAGAGGAAAGTATTACATTAAATGCACTATTGATTAAACATGCATCTTCATTTTACTAAAATTAAAATGTAAAAAAAAAAGTGAAAGGAACCACTGAATCAGAGAAATACAGTAATCTTTAAAAACTGAGAGATGGCCCACTATTGAGCCAAAAAATAATGAGTGAAAGAATAAATGCACAAAAATGATAGCACAGTAGACTATTAAGAAGCATTGTTTTAGAAAAACAACTCAGTGTATAAGGAGTGTAACCTCTTTTTCCTTTAATTAGTACATTTTCTTACAACTGAGTGTTAGATTTCTTTCCTCCAGTAACCACATTTACCACACAAAATGAACTCTTCATGATCATGGCCAAGAGATGGCCCAAGAACCGTGTGTTATTGTCCTTTACTGAAAATTAAATGGCATTTAAGTCATGAAATGAGCCAACAAAGGACCTTGGCAGGGTCCTGATAGGTAGAGCATCAGATCTACTTACAGATTAAAGGATGAATCTTTCTCACTTGAAAAGATATTTGAAACAGTGAAAACCACCTTCCCCGGTTGTAGCTCATTTTTATACTAAAGCCAGGATGTCCCTGATCTGGGAGGTAGGTGGCCCTCCACTCCTAGGAAAGGTGCACTTCCCTAAATCCTCTTGCCTGTTTTGCATCTATACTAAAACAAAGCAAAACAAAAGGATTTAAGAGAGAGAGAGAGAGAGAGATAGAGAGAGAGAGAGAGGTATGTGCCCAGGTTTGCTCTGACCCTTATCTCTAGTGAGGATTTCGAAGCACTCTTGTTCCTTGAGTGTTGACATTTCTTTTCATCTGGGAGTGGTTGTCACAGGCTGGTACTCAAGGAGTCCCCATTCCTGTAAGGCTTCCTCCCAAATGACTCCCCCAACCAGTGGTAATGAAAAACCACTCCTCAACTTTATTGTCCATGCAAAGCTACTTGGCCTCCACAGCTAATGGTCTGTTCACAATCCATCTATAGGTAGGTAGATAAAGCCTGATATTTGTATAGGATTTTGCAGCTTTTAAAACATCTTTTAAAGTCTATACCATGTTCCATGTAATCATCATAGTGTCCCTGAGAGACAGGCAGAGGGGCTATAGTGAGCCCCATATTGCAAGTAAAAGCCGTGTGACATGCCCAGAGCTTGGAATCTACCTTCTCTGGTTAAATCCAGTGCTCTTTTCTCCAGTGCTTGCTAAATGTCTCTTATTTCTTTACTTTAGAACAAACCAGAGATAGAGATTTTAAAAAACAGAGAAAGAACCCACTGTCTTGTCTCACCAGGCAGTGTCCCTTGCTGACATGGGAAACACAAAAGCAGGGGTGAACTGACTTTGGAGAGCTTTCTTCTGCTCCAGGCACATTCATTCATTTGGCCAAATAAGTGTGCTTCAGGCCACTGTGAGGCCGGAAGGAGCCCTTTGAGAGGAACAAATTTTACCCCAAAGTTGGCAGGTCTGTCTTGCCTGGTCTGCTGAAAATTCAGTCTTCATAAGCTTAGACCATTTTAAATAAAAAAAATAAAAGGTGCCTTCTCATTGACCAAGTGTCTTGGAATTTGCGCTTTAACATCAAGGAGTTATTTGGGGAAATTTTTTTCTCTCACTGTGATGGCTCGAATAATGTATTCATCCATTCATATATTTTCTGTACTACCTAAGGAAAACCACCCACATGATTAATACCTGATAGAGATCTAAATCATGGTCCTTCACCTTTTTGGTACTATGGACGGTGAACTCTCTGGACCTTTTCTCAGAATGTTTTTAAATGTACAACATAAAAGATATAAGATCACAAAAGAGACAAAGTGGATTGAAATATCAAAATATTAAAAAAGTGAATTTGCGATGTAGTAACATGTGCTTCTTTATTAAGCCCATCAACTAATATCATCTGGTGGAGGGTCTGATAACCACCAGAATTTCAAAGTAGTGATGAGCAGACACAATATTGCCAGATATCGACAACAACTGAATATTAAATGAAAATATTTGTGGGCCGGCCCCGTGGCTTAGCGGTTAAGTGCGTGCTCTCCGCTGCCGGCGGCCCGGGTTCGGATCCCGGGTGCGCACCGAGGCACCACTCTTCCAGCCATGCTGAGGCCGCATCCCACATACAGCAACTAGAAGGATGTGCAGCTATGACAGACAACTAT